AAAAGCTGGTTAGCTTAATCACTACTTAATGACATTTTTCAACCTTTGATAATTTTGTCAATATTCAAGGTAAAATCTCACAATTTTGCATGTGAATTCACTCTACTAAATATTTGATATCTGGAAAGTTGTATCCAATTCAATGATTTATTTTTTAAGTTACACACAAATTAAAATTTGTGCTAATCACCTTTTGAACAACTGGGCCCTGATGGTTATATTATGTATTAATACTAATCTGAGCAATAGACTTAATGTAAAGAAATGCATTCAAACAACCTATGTGTAGCTATTAGATATAAACCAGAGATAAAAGCAGCATACATTTTGTGTACCTTTTATACAAAAGTAGGGAAAATATTTGTGAAATCAGGGCTACAAAGTGGCGGGGGCTTTACAGACAATGCTGTGATACTCATGGTAAATTGACCACAGAGATTTATTCCGAAGCTTAACTATCCACAGCTATTCAGACACGACCCTGTTATCTAGCTCCAGGGTTCCCATGACTTTTTGTTTTCTCTAGATTTCAATTTTAGATGCCTACAGATAGTCTACACACTGTAACAGTACTGAACCAGAGGGGTGTTCCTTTGAATGAAATGTTTATTATTTATCTCGGCCAATATAGATGTTGATCTAACACTAAAACCAAATGATAATATATATAGGTACATATATACAAGTACTATGGAAAATCCCCTGAACTCTACATTTAAGGTCATCTCAAGCAATCCCGAGTAGTACAGTCGAGTATACATATTACCTCATGGAGTATGCATTTCATACCTGTCAAATTCTCAACAATAAAATAAAGGTTCTACATGTAGATCTGATGGTAAAAATGCAGGTTAAGTCTGCTAATAACAGGTCATTTTTATTAAATGAATATTTAAAAAGGTGATTTTTCAAATAGGAGATTCAAAAATGTATTACAATCTGCAAAGGTCATGAGGTCAATTGCAGGTTGACTACTATTCTGCACAAATGCAGATGACTTCGAACTCGCAGGTACTGTATTCGTAGACAGACTTTTATGGACAGGTCTACATTTGTATAAATAGATAAATGCCCTGTAACATTTTGTGATCTTTGAATTCAAAACCAGGACAAAAGATAATTATTTGATGATCTAGCTAGTCCTTTAACAATTCAGCTCCAGAGAAAATTTGATTCCATCTAACCATGTCAGTCAAACATGGTTCAACACTATATGTCATCTAAAAACTGTACAGCTGAATTAAGGCTATATGCTACCTTTTACATCATAACTTGATCTGAGTTGTGTTTGAGTTACCTCCCTACTGACTTTTTTCTTACCTAACTAATCATACCATAAAACTAGAGCATATTTATGTATCTTTCAAATATGTCTCATATTTTCATTCGCTATTCTGCACATTTGCACTTGATCTGCCCCCTAGATATGTATAAATAATTTCAGTATTATTTTAATTTTCAGCATTATTATAATATTTTTAACTGGAAATATGTATTGTTACTGAATCCATTTAGTCTTAAATTTAACATTGACATATATATTTATATGTACACATTTGTATACGAAAACGGTATTTTTACTAATAATTGCAACAGGTTGCATTATAAATCTTACAGTCTTCCACTATTTAAGCCTTTTATTATGTCCAACACTCAACACTAATGACCAAGCTACAGCACGTTGGATAATAAGATCTATAAGAGTGGGATTCATACAGGTGACATCACTTAAAGCTTCCAGCTAAAAAGTCAGAGTGTGTGTGCATGAAATCTAATTCAATATAACCCAGTATATATAACTATGAATCACGCAAAAATCAATACCACTGTACAGTACTGTACTAGAGGATGCCTCCCGATACCACACATTCTATATATATCGAGTACTACATCTTCTGTACTGTCTCTCTATCACCTGTCTCAGTTGAGTCACACCATTCAGGATCTACACTCTTTAACTTGTACTTAATGCATCTTCTCAAAGACTCTCGTTTTACAGCCTTGCAACTAAGCAATTGCAGCAAGTCCTGTACAATAAATTGTACAAGTATAATACATAGATCTATTTAAATTTTAATATTGATATACTATGGTGTGTTGCTAGACTTGTACAGGTGACTACCAGTGAGCAGGTACCAGTAGTCTGTAGATGTCAGGCAAGGTCGCCCAGACCCATCCCAGACCCAGTCCCATCATCACTTCCCCTTCTCCGACTCACTGCCCTCCTTTCATCAGTACAATTAAGTGACCATGTAACACCCTAGCTACCACTCTGCCCCTTTGCAGTTCCTTGATTATCAGAACATCCCTGGAGTGCACCTGCACTCGGACAGTCCGTAGCTCCTCCTCCTCCTTGGACAAGTTTTTTGATACGTAGCATCTATACATGTATGTTTAGTACAAGTCAAATACTATAGTTGTTTCATAATCAAGGGACTGCAAAGGGGCAGACTGGTAGGGTGTTACAAGGTCACTAAATTGTACTGATGAAAGGAGGGCAGTGAGCTGGGGAAGGGGGAGTGATGATGGGTCTTTGATGGGTCTGGGACGGCTCTGGGCACCCTTATTTTACATATATATCTACGGGTAACTCAATTTGGTGAAAGTGTCCTCATAGAGTTTGGGAAGTCCAGGGCTGACCCTGTTGCATGCTTCCATAATGTATCATAATCATTTACCTTGGGCAAATCTTTATGTGTCATATATACAAGTAGTATACATGATAGTTAAATACATGAACAAGCTGGGGGTATATATATGACAACCACCATCATCATCAACTTCACTGTAGTGTTACATTCATGTACACCCATTTGTTGGGAGTACCAGTAAATCTTATGAATCAGACAGCTATAGGGGTTTTTCAGTGGGCAGGTACAGTTTTATATCACACACAATCATGTAGCTTTAAGCTATGAAAGTCAGGTGGACACTGAATGCATGTCTGAAATGTATACCACACATGTACTATCGTGGAGAGATCTGTATATCAGATGGCAAATAATTAGTCAAAGTTTGGCTTTATGACTCAAAACTGTGTATTTCTATTTGACAAGCTGAACTTGAAACCCAACTCCTGATATATCAACCCTGATTAGGGTTTTTGTCCCTGTTTTCTCCGATTTGATAAAAAAAAAATACAAGAAAAAATATTTTTAAAAAGGCTGACTGAGCATGAAATCAAGAAGGAAACAAAAAAATAAGGGATGTGGGTCCTAATACTTTCATAATGTCACTTAAATATAAATGCTTCTGTTAGATAAGCTGCATTACAGCTTTTCATTGTGCATATTTTTGTGTGCATGCACCTTTCAGAATATACTGGTACTGTTGTAAAAAAAGGTTTCATGTGTTAAAATCTATGCCAGGTGTTATGTATCCATAATTTCATGGAATATATAATACCTGTGTTCCGGTGTCCCTGTAATACTTCATCATACTTAATAAAACTTGTGACTGTGCATTATTAACACTTCGCAGTGCCTGTGCACCATCTGGCTTCCAATAAATACCAGACAAGCTTATAAATCATGCATCCGTTCCCCTTGTTACATGTGTATTATAAAGAGTCATACATCATGTGTGATGTAACCGGTCTATTTCGACTACTTACATTTTATGATATTATTGTTTAATTTCAAGTTGATTGATTAATTATTGAAGATGTAAGCACCAGGCCTTCTCAAGTGCCTATAAAAATGTTTAACAAACTAGTTAGAAAACAAAATTTACACAATGTTGCATTTGTTACATCCCCCATGGGTAATATTGGAAGGGTTGTGGAAACATCTTCATTTTCATCATAGCTTAGAAAAAGACAAACGTTCATTTTGTATTCCCTTTTCTCTGATGGGACTTTACAAAATAGGTTAAAAATGCAGGGGGGGAGAGGGCAGTGCCTAGCAAATTATGCAAAGAAGTGCAAGCTATATCATGGTAATGTGTCACAAATTCATTTAACAATAATCTATCAATAAGAAAATTTAAAGGATATTTTTGCAATTCTACTTGAATGATTCATGAACGTTGATGTCTTTAGAAATAATCAACATATAAATAAGGAGTAGGCCATTTAATTATTTTTTAATATATGTTCAAATCCCTAGTTATGTAGTCTAATTTCCCCATAATAAACAGCACATGTCGAACATATATATCTACAATACAAAATCTTCCATGCGGCTATAACACCTGGTCTAGATACTAGTAGCTAGTCCAAAGATTTTACTGATGCATGGTGACGGAGGCTGTCACATGATGCCTCATTTTTTTCATTTCACCAACATGCGGGTAGAAACAAAAGCCTTGACATCATACTTCCTGGAGACTAGTAAAATTTTCTGTCCTGGTAGTAACATTTGTACATGCATGAGTGTCCCCCCTCATTTGACTAAGGCAAAACTATTTTGTCGAAGACATATATGTCACACATGGCTCTGTTTACAATTTGCAATGGTTGGACATAGCATTTCACCATTTGAAATAGCGTAGCATAGGAATGTTTGGTCAGGAAAAGTGTGAGCAAATGAATGGACAAAATCATAAACAATAAACATAGAAATGTATATACAGTACATTAACTGTAATGTAGACAACAACCCAGGTACAGCCCTACTTAAACAGCTACATCTGTCATGTAATCATGTATAATTACGTATCAATCTTAGTCTAGAATCTAAAGCAATATCAAACAGAATTGTACAATGAACGATAGTGAAATCAACAAAACGCTATACAATGCCGACACCCTGAACATTTTAGTACGACATACTTCAGTGGTCACAATTTGAATATTAAAGTACTGTACTTTAGTGCAAATACTTAAATTTAAACTAACTTCTTTGAAGGTATCTCAAAGGTTCTAATTATCATTTCAAACGACAACAACCGAATATTTACTCCACCACACGGCACATGCGGATCAGCTGATAATTTAATTACCACCTATTTATATCAATAATGTTAACCAAGATAGGTTATCAACAATGACAGTTGTATACCTTAATGCCACCCGCACACTGCTTTGGTCTTCCATCTGTTCTTTCTGCTCTTCATTCTTTTCTGTCATCATTGTAGTTTTTTTCTTGTCACACCTAATCACAAATGATGTCAGATTCTGATCTCACGACCAAAAACTATTTGCAGTTTCACACTGCTTATTCCTCGTATGTCACTTTCCACCTGCAAGCAAAACACAATACTTCCCACATATTTGCCGTTTTAAACGGCTAGACTTATCACTTTTACATTTCCATTGCTGCAAAATCCGCATGAAATATAGGCATTTCCTTCTTAAAGGTACCCGACCATCACGTAAGTGTAATACACAGAGATGTATTATGCCTATCGCCGAGTTCACCAACCGCGGATGGAGTCAAATACCGACATCTGCAGGAAGTTTCTAGCATTAAAGAAGGGGGATAACTCTGTTATTGCTCTACACACCTCACACACAGTTTGGTCATTTTTTAGTGATAAACATTTCGGTATTTCGAAAAATTCTTGTCACAGTTAGTATTTATATTTTACTCAAAGATATTTGATTTTTTTATATATTTTTAGATGACGTATTGATTTTATAACTAAAAGCCTTAAAAACTAAAATACTGTATAAATGTATACAATATCATATAAGCAGAGACCCTTATAATAGTCTTCATCATCTCCTAATTTGAATAAATAGGTCTCTGTTGTAAGTGCATCTAAATTAAGAGGAAATCTTTGTTTTAAATATAAGATGGAATTGGATCACTTATAATCTAAGTATGTGGTAGTTTATAAACACCAGATCACATACAAAGTAACTAAAAATATGATGCAGCAATGCCTGTATTTAGAGTTCTGAATTCCGAATTCATATAATAAATGAATTAATGTTTTCATGGAAAACCACAAACGATGCATATAAGAATTTGAGAGAAAATATTGAACATATTTTTGCAAAACTTAGAATCTTTACTTGGATGCTCTATTGCTCTAGATTTACATGGTCATCAAACCACAGGACAGTTGGGATACAGTTTCAGAAAATCTGGAAGCTTGTCTGACAGATATCAGTATCTGGATGAACACCAACATGCTAAAGCTTAATCAGGAAAAGACGGAACTAATCGTCTTTTCCCCAAAGTGTCAGCAAACAATGGCTCACCAGCTCAAGGATGGTGCCAGAACTATTGAGACTGTCCCAGCTGTTAAAACCTAGGAGTATACTTTGATAAGTCACTGAACCTGCTCTGTGGTATATCTGACAAACTAACTAGTCGTCTACAGAGGGTCCAGAACACTGCAGCACGGCTGGTTACTCGTACTCGAAAGAGAGAGCACATCACACCTGTGCTATATTCATTGCACTGGTTACCTGTACGATACAGGTCTAAGTACAAAACTTTGGTGTACACATACAAGGCACTGAATGGAACAGCTCCTCAGTACCTACAGGAGCTTGTTACCCTGTATCAGCCGTCACAATCACTGCAGTCGGAGTCAGAATCATTGTTGTGTGTCCCAAAATCTCGTACTGTGACCTATGCTTTGGGATGGTTTCGGCCACATTGTGGAATAGCTTACCATCTGCTAATAGAAAGTCAAATACCCTGGCCAAATTCAAGAGGGACATCAAAACTCACCTCTTCACGTCTGCATTTTAGGGTCTCTGCAAAGACGTCATGTAAATACCACCCTTTATTTGTTTAATTATGTGTACATTGTTTGCTTAAATGTATAAAAGTGATTGTAAGCCTTTGTTTTTGTTTCACAATTATAACTATTACTATTATCCATATTTTGTAAAGCACTTTAAAGTAATTTTAAAAAATTATATACGGCACTATATAAATGTTGTATATTATTATTGAACTCTTGTGGTTTACTAATATTATTTAGACAAGAAATATATATATTTAAGCAAGAATCAGAATTATTTTTGGGTTATACAGTATATACAATGTACTAAGAAAAGTATGTGGAATTTGCATAAAGCTGTAAAGCAGAACATGACATCATCACTTTTTGTGATGTCTCTTTTCTAATTTAAGTTAATAACCTGAAATAGTTTAGCATTGGAGGTATAGCCAAAATTTAATTATTAAATACTTTGATATGAAACTATCTGCTAAGAAATTAACCCAATGAAGTTTCAGTTCATTGCAAGACATTTCATCCTAAATATATCCTAAAGTCAATATGACATTATGAGTTATATTGAATGTCTTTAAAGCTATCTTCCCCAACTGATTTTGTATTAACCCATCATGGATTGTCTCCCTTCAGCTGGGAAAAAGAAATTTCTCAAAATTTAGGAGAGAGAATGTGATCAAAGCAGCCACCAAACAGTACATGTTAGTTAAATTTATTGGTTTCATGAAATAATTGTCATTATGAGTTACATTGAATGCCTTTGAAGCTATCTTCCCCAACAGATTTTGTATTAACCCATCATGGATTGTCTCCCTTCATCTGCAAAAAAGATATTTCTCAAAATTTAGAACGAGAGGATACGATCAAAGCGGCCACCAAAAAGTACATGTTAGTTTGATTTATTGGTTTCATGAAATATTTGTAAACTTTCAGTACAAATACGTTTATCAGGCACATCAAGTTAGATTTCTAAAATATGAATTTGTGTTGATTTCGTGGACATTGTATTGGAAAAGAAAACTTATGTAAACATTTCATTACTACATTTGTTTGATCCAAAACATATGAAGATTTTGTGGTGTGAATGTGTGGTAGTGGAGTTACCCAGTCATATACAGTGACCACTATTCTTCTGATCACCAAATGAAGACACTCAACAAGAGAAAAGGGTCGGCAGACTAGTTTGGGGTTAAAATTGTCTCCAGATGTAAGGGAAATAATAATTCAACAAAACATTCAATCAAGAATTTGTAATAAAAACTAAAAACTTGAGTTTTATATTAAAAGGTTTTATTTTTCCCATTTGCATATTCATAATTTCTACCAAGAATTACAAATAAAAAACTTAACACAAGTTGTGCATGTGAACAACAGATCCTTACAATATACCTATAACTCATTCACCCCTGAAAACACATTTGAACTCTTCCAATTCAAAGGTTGGAATAGTTCATTATGAAATTTCAGGGGTGAATGAGTTAAAGACAATCACCCTTGCAATTTGCACCTGTACATATTTAAATGTGATTGTGGTATAACTTTTCAACAACACCAGACTGGTATTCAAAATGAACCTTACAGAGATCATTGATCTGCCCAGTCTGCTGTATCTACTCCTTGTGCCACCAGATTTTTTAAATCTAGACTACAGTTAATTTATAAATAACACACATGTCCCACTTTACAATATATTTCATGGTGTATGAAATGAAACAAGATAGAAAATTGCCACAGGTAAGATCATGGTTCCCTCTCTGGCCATCTGAGCTAAAGATCGCCACTCTTCTGACCTACTGACTTGTCAATCGCCTCAGTCTAGTTCCACTTAAAAAATAGTCACAAGCCCCTATGATTGTTTTTATACACAATCAATTAAAAAAAAAGCTAAAATGTACAAGGAATTATCCAAGCAATCAAAAGCAGAGGTTTAGGCAGAAGTAGCGTTTAATACTTAGAACGAACAAAAGATCAATACTATTGAGAAAAAGGAAATAAATGTTTTTATGATTGTTTACTAGGGTATAGGGTAGAGCAAACGCTATGGTTTCTTCAATGGTGGAAAAATCTGGTCCTCTGCCCTTCGTCTGTTTATCCGAAAGTATGCAGGGCGATAAAGTAAAATTGGTTACATAGTCATAGATTCAATCACAATTGATTGTAATAGATTATGTACTTGACTGGTAGTTGTCTGTTCAGCTTATAAGTACTGTTATTTTCCATACAATACAAATATTCCTGTATATATGCTATTTGTCTATATACCTAACAAGAGACTAATAAAAAAATAAGTGATATTTCTTTTTCAGTCCATATAAGGATGGCGATTTGATAAAAAAAAAAAATCTTCCAAAACTATATGATAATCATTTATACTTAACTTGTACATAAAAAAAGTCTGTTTACTATGATCTGAGAAACCAAATATTAAGAAACAGAAGCTTGAACGATAACTCACAAAAATACTGAATACAGAAATGTTAAGATTTATCGTCACCGTCGGTGTTCATGTATCTGTTGTAACGTGGACGGAAAAGTCATCAATATTTTTCGAACTATTTTTCAAAGTGCTGTACCCTTTCAACCAGAACAGCTAACAAAAGATTTTGTCAGCACAAATGATGGTTACCAGTATTTTAAAAAACAAACTTACTAAAACAAAGTTAACAAAGTTTGGACACATCACAACCATGTTACAACCGTCACAAAACACGGGACCATGTAAAGTTACCATTTGTACAAATAATTTTCTGCATATTAATTTGCCACAGACTGTCTTTGCTTAATTTGTGACATCACAATTGAAACAGTTACTAAAAATAATAATGAAGTAGTACGAGAAATAGTGATAAAGATAGTGCCGTCGATGGGGCTCGAACCCGCGACCCTTGGCTCTCCAGCCCGATGCTCTACCGCTGAGCTAAACGGAAATTCCCCACAGCTGACGCTTGTAAGGCAACCTAATCAATGCACATCTTTTACAATGACTATTTTCATGGAAAAACAAGCTGAGTTCACCTTTTACACAGCTAGATTGGTTTTCATATCAAGTTCATATGATTAAAATGAACTCGATCAAATATACAAATTACACTTTGTGAATACTGTCAACGTACCATACTTATTTATCACACCCAAATATTAGGGCACAATCAAACATGAAGAGATTAGTTTAACAATAAATTGCACACTCACAAAATATGCAACAGAAAAAAATGTGCAGAAACTTAAACTAGCACAATCATCATTTATCACAATAATGAAACATTCAATATAGAAATCGAAGGAGCATCAAGGATTCTGTTACGGTAGACGTTTTATTGTTGACAGGTTCCGGTAGGCTAGGCCAACTGTTATCTGTTCCATTACGGTAGACGTTTTATTGTTGACAGGTTTCAGTAGGCTAGGCCAACCGTCATCGGTTCTGTTACGGTAGATGTTTTATTGTTGACAGGTTTCGGTAGGCTAGGCATACCATCATCGGTTCCGTTACGGGAGACGTTTTATTGTTGACATGCCATTGATTATGAGGACGGTAGGCCTAGCCTACTGAAACATGGCAACGGAATCCTTGGTGGTGATGCTCCTTCGTTTCCTTTATTACTCTTGGATGGAGCTCTGTTTGAATATCCTTGTGATATCCACCTCCGATTCCTGTACCAGACAGACCACACATTGCCCGTAAAAAAATCTTGTATCATACATTTTTTGTTTGCTATATATCTTTTTTATACTTCCTTTAAAATTTTAAACCCAAACATGATGGGGAGAATAGTAGTATAAGCTTATTTTTAAACACCACAGCAGTGTTTTACTTGTATTTATCATATATTAACAAATAATGCCTATAACCAATACATTTTTGGGGCGATGTCGCCTTGGCCTCAGTATAACATCGCTTTACTAAATACTACATAAGTACTACAAAAGTCTCCATATACGATCATCATACATATAATGCTACTTTGATTGAGCCAGTTTCCAATATAACCTTTATTAATTTACACATTGTACAATTAACAGAATATTAACAAAAGTTTCACAGAACCATAATGCTTTATAAATAACAGAAGCACATTCTTTTCACATGGCATTCACACTCACAACATTTTAATACATATGTGTAGTAGGACGAGGAATACTGATAAAGATAGTGCTGTCGCTAGGGCTTTCCAGCCCGATGATCTACTGCTGACCTAAAGGGAAATTCCCCAAAGCTGACACTTGTAAGGCAACCTAATCAATGCACACCTTTAACGTATAATTGTTTTTCATCTGACATCTCGCTGAAAACTGCATCTTGATAGAACACCCCTCACAGAAGTTTGCATTGCTATATAATGTTAACTCATTCACCCCTGAAGACTTCTTTGACTCTTCCAATTCAAGGTTTGGAATAGTTCATTATGAAATTTCAGGGGTGAATGAGTTAAACCCCACAGTATATTACATTTCTTTGAGTTATGCTCTAGCTCTTTAATTCCCTGCACTCCTGAATTTGTCACGACAAAATTGAAGGTAATTTTACCATTTGGCTGCTGCGTGATTCTTTTGATGTATTATTAAAGATCGAACTAGTCTACTTATGTCATTCACAAAGTAACGCACACAAGAACTTTTAATTTTATCATGACATATTCCAGGGGTTGAATTTCAAGAGAATGCTTTTGGTTAATCTAAACATAATTACTGGTATGCAACTACACATAATTGAAGGACTTTATCACATACATAATTACTACTTAGTTATAAGTTGTGTTCTCTTTGGTCTTTTGTTATCCATATCATTAACAAATTGAACTTAACGGTTTTCTTAATGCTTGATTTTGAGCCTGCAAGTAGAATGAGTTTTTTCTTTTTTTTCACACGGGTAACAATTCAATAAACTTACAATCTAATCTCATTCCTAACAAAGGTCTGTTATGATAATACTTAATTAAAACGCAAAGTCAATAAAAAAACTTTTAAAATAAAAAGCAACACATTTAACTTGTTCTCCCCTGAAATTTCATAATGAACTATTCCAACTTTTGAATTGGAAGAGTTCAAATGCGTCTTCAGGGATGAATGAGTTAACAAACTGTGCAATATTGTAGGAAGGACAACATAACATCGTCAATTACTCGTATCAGCAGTTAAAATGATCAGGTTTATTAGTTTGGTTATTTGGTTAATTTCCGTGGAACACATTCTGCAAGTTTTGTACAACAAAACAGATTTTTTAAATTAACGTCACTGTACCCAAAACGGGACACTTTTTAGAGAAATGTCCTTGTACTTTATACCTAGACTGGCCACCAGCCCCTAAGTTTTTATGAAGAATTTCTCGACTGCATTTTACTACTAGCTTATCTCCCCCTAGTTTAGAACTTAGGGTTCAGAATCAGACATCCAAGTGATCAAAATTATTAGAGTTAGTTTTTTCTTAATTATTTAATATTCTAGAGACGGTGACCAGTCTACTTTATACCATATACTATCAATTCCAGAAATGTTTGTTCTTTTTTCATAAATAGATCCTATCCACTTTTCATTTCTACTACAAGTTGGTATTTCTGGATCGTAATTCTATAAATAGAATGCAAAATACTATCAGGGTCATGTAGGCCCTTGAACAGGCGTTACTGTACCCTGAAAAGGACACTTAAGTATTTTGGTTAATATTGGGAGATATCAGTAGAAAAGTAAACAATTTAGTTCAAATATTTTAGAATCAAAGGGGGTTCTGATTAAATTTCTTCTCCAAAATAGTGTTAGTTTTGATAAAATAGACTTTTGAAAATGGTATTACAATAGATAGCGTCGCACGACACGTAAATCACAAAAGTTTTGTTTTGGTAATTATTCTTACCTTTAAATTATCCATGTAACGATAATCGGCAGCCAATAAAGCTTATATACAGTTATATTGTCATAAAAGTATTATCAAATGAAAACTGTATACATAAAAGTACTCCTTTACATTGTATGACAGTTTCTTGAGTCGTTTTTGCCACAAGTGTCCCGTTTTGGGCACTGTCCCATTTTTGGTACAGTGATGTTAGCCATACATTCTCTATACAGCACTGTCTGGTTAAATAAGGAAAACTGGTACTTTTTAATACTACAGACGGAAACAGAATCTAACATTTACCTATAAATACACAAACATATAAACAACTTGGTATTGATTAAGATAAACTCCATTGAAATAACTAGGAGGTTCAGTGCTAAAAGATTAACAGACTCCGTTAAAATAAATTAAATAGAAAAGCCACACATTCCGAATATAATTTAAAAGTCTTCCAATCAATTAAATACTCATACAGGTTACTGAAATCAAAAATATTTTCTAAACATGAAAAATTAATCATCTGTAGGTAATGACTGTACAATATGTCATGTCTTAAAGTGTTCAAACATTTACTATCTGTACTGCATTAAATATTTGATAGAGCCTTGTAAATCGAGCCATCACTATTCCAGTTCTTCCCCTTTCTAGCCAGTGTTATAGGGAACAGGCTTCCCTTTTTGTATATAATTTGGTATCTTAAGTACACCAGTTGGAAACACTGGTAGCTACAGCAACAACACTCAACTGTTTTCTTCCAGAGATTATAATGCAGAGTTAACAGTTAAATAGATGTTTTTGTCCATGAAACACCAATCAAGGAGATTTAGTTTCAACTAAATGTATACCAGCTCAATTTTACACACGTTGATTAACTCATTCACCCCTGAAGACACATTTTAACTCTTCCAATTTGAAGACTGGAATAGTTCATTATAAAATTTCAGGGGTGAATGAGTTAAACACATTGTGTTAAATGTAAATGTCATGATACTCTCAATACACAAAATCATACAGAGAATCTTATAAATAAATTCTGGCCCCAGTCCTGTTGATGGCACACGGGTAATAAGCTGCTGTTAAAAAATCAGTTTAAAACTTACAATATATGTCCATTCAGTAAAGTCTGACCTCATTAATCCAAACACCATGGTTCCCAGAGCAAAATTGTCCCGATTAATATACTTAATAAATAAAACATGACATTTGCCAATTATGAAAGACTCTGTACTGCTGTTGTACCCTAACTCATTCACCCCTGAAGTTTCATAATGAACTATTCTAACCTTTGAATTGGAAGAGTTCAAATGTGAATGAGTTAATTTACCAGCTTATCCTTAATATCTTAAGAGAATACGACGTGAAATATACATTTTTGGTATACGTGGCCCTTAAAACGACAACTGTTATTGTCACCAAGAAATGTAGTTTGGTCAAACACACATGGGCAGCAAAATGGTCATTGAGTGACAAGAGTCATGTCACTGTAACTTTCTCAGACTGCAATTTATTTCATAGAATTGTAACAGGAGAAAGAAAAAATGTAATGGCCAAACCAGGATTCGAACCCTGGACCCTCCGAATTCTAGACGGATGCTCTACCAATTGAGCTACCTGGTCGCCAATGATCGATCCAGTCCAGCTCCGCTACAGAATATCTGACCCTCCATTCCAATCTCTCCTAGATCTGGAACAGGTATTTTCAAATGAACAAGTACCAGGTACAATTACTGTCATAGAGATGTGGTCCAAGGTAGTGGAGGAACAGTGGTGTCCAGATTATTGAGGTCTGACCATACGTGATGACATCATGGTCACTACTGTTTCTTATCCAACACCTGTAATTCATGGCACCATCCTAAATGATCACTACTAACAACCCCACTAAACAAAATCCTATGCATTTAAAAATACATGAATATATTAATATATTTATTTTACACAAGGTACACTTAAAAACATGTCCTTGACCAGCAAGTTCTTTAAATAAACTGAAAAATCAGTAAAACTCGTCATGAAAACTACACTAAAGTGATGGGAAACACGAAGGTTGTAACAGTCTCCAATATTTTGTTATTCAATAGTTAAGTAACAGAACCAACAACAACACCCAGTTTTGAGAGATCACATGATTTACTCTGAGAGGCCTTTTCCTTTAGAGATAACGTGACCTGTCTTAAAACAAAACCTGTCTGATGAAAGACCACATGAGCTGTTTTCAGATCTCACATAAAAAAACGTCTTGTGGCATCACAAAATTTTTAATCATTTTTTTTTAAAAGGTGATGACCTTTCTTGTGAGATGTGTTCCAAGGTCCAAGCTATCCTTTGTTGTGAGACCACTGCCTCAGAACCTGTGTGACAAGACAGTCTTGATAGACCATACCCAACTTGTCTAGAGAGACCAGTTAACTTGTCTAGAGAGACCAGTTAACTTGTCTAGAGAGACCAGTTAACTTGTCTAGAGAGACCAGTTAACTTGTCTAGAGAGACCAGTTAACTTGTCTAGAGAGACCAGTTAACTTGTCTAGAGAGACCAGTTAACTTGTCTAGAGAGACCAGTTAACTTGTCTAGAGAGACCAGTTAACTTGTCTAGAGAGACCAGTTAACTTGTCTAGAGAGACCAGTTAACTTGTCTAGAGAGACCAGTTAACTTGTCTAGAGAGACCAGTTAACTTGTCTAGAGAGACCAGTTAACTTGTCTAGAGAGACCAGTTAACTTGTCTAGAGAGACCAGTTAACTTGTCTAGAGAGACCAGTTAACTTGTCTAGAGAGACCAACTGATCGGTTTCTGTGACTAATGGATCTGTATTTCAATTGTGACAATGTATAGAAACCACATGACCTGTTCAGAGACCACTGGTTTTTGTTGAAGACTGAAATGATTTTTCCCAGGTGATGTAAATATCTCCGCTGAATCTGTCTACTTGGTAGTGCCATTGGCTGTGATATTTTGTATGATTGTTGGTGCACTGTCACTCGGTCCCATCACGATCTGAACCGGCGGCACCAGTTTCTTCCCACTTAACAGTTCCTCTAGTCCCTGAAACACAGCGCAAATATACGATGGTACATTGATGACATGCACAATAGTATTTTCTACACTGATTATGTCGAGCGCTCAACATATTATCTCGAGCACTCAACTTATTAAGTCAAGTGCTCGACATAACTTTTCGAGCGCTCGACTTATTATCTCGACATCCAACTTATCTACATTCATTTTTTGTACATAACAAATTATAATTGCACACATGAATAATAACACCGCAAACGGGTGCATGATACATTTCAAACTACATTAAACTATACATATTAATTTTCTAAAGGGTAAAATCCATATGAGCGTAAAAACCATATGAGGGTAATATTTTTTTTAAATGTAATGCAAATGTACGATGGTACATTTAGGACATGCACAATATTATTTTCTACATTAATTATCTCGAGCGTTCAAATTAAAACCAAGCATTCTTAGTGTTGCCTGAGAAAATCTCTCTGTTTAATCGTATAGAAACATATACATAAAATACATGTATGATAAAATAAGATGTGGAAAAGTGATCATTTTCTCACGGGCTGCCCTGAGACTATGGCATTTATAAGATTATTTTAAGACCCTACTTGAGGACTTACACTAATTAATTCCTATCATAAGCCTACCAGCACAGTGGTTCAAACACTTCTAAGGGATTTATCCTCATGGCCAACATTAAACTCATTCACCCCTGAAGACACATTTGAATTCTTCCAATTCAAAGGTTAGAATAATAGTTCATTATGAAATTTCAGGGGTGAATGAGTTAATATTTAGGCTGGTTCACATATTGTCTTTATAGCACCCAGTATTAGAAAATTAGGCTGTGTACATTTGCATCTCCAGCACACACGCAGGCATGCACATGTGCACATAGGGAGATATTAGCCAGGTGGCATAGGACTAGTAGTTAGCGCCTGATAAGGCAGCTCCTGCAAATTCCTCAAAATAGATTAATGTATATGCTAATAGTATTAATTGTATATCTATGTACTGTAAAGCGCTTTAGAGTGGCTTATTCTAGCTAGATAGGGCGCTATATCTAATGTTGTATATTATTATCATTTATGTTTTAAAATAAACCTGATCCATATACCAGTGAGCTAATCCAACAGAACAAAGATTGTTACCTCTCCAGCGTACGATACCAATGGTGACACCTCACATTTGGTGAAATGGTCATCATTCTCTCCCTTTCGACTGAAATAAACAAAACCAAAAGTTAAAAGATGTCCTGTTTAATAGGCATACTCTATGTCTAGTATGAGATTCATTGTCCTGTATATTATAGAGTCTGTACTCGCTGATTCAAATTTCTATCACATGGCTTAAGTTATGATCTTTTCATTTTTTTTATCAAAGGTTAGTTCTTTTGCTTTATACGCTGTGTGACAATTTTTGCTTTTGATATTCTCAGCAGCAATAGCTTCATGTTTTGAAAAGAAAGACATTTATTACTCTACCGAGGGTGATAATCTACACATATCATGATCAGGATTCATTTATAAACTACTGTATAATACTGCAAAGTAATATTCTAAATTTTAAGTGGAAGTAAATTACATAAGAGAAGACAAGCGAAGACAAATCTAAACAGATATCTGGTATATAGAGTAAATGGCAAAGTGACAAATACGCAATCAATAATACAACTGTTTAAGTCCATCAAATGTGAAACACATTATTCAAAAGCATTAGTGAAAAACAAACAAACATTTATCAGTAAATTAACCCTTTCACCACTGTGGACCATAATGGACTCATTCAGATCAATGCATGGTAGAGTCTACTAAAGTTACATGGGGGTGAAAGGGTTATAGAACTTTTAAATATGAAATAAAATTTTAAATCTACATAGAGTCAAACCTGCTCATGTGATCACCTCTTTTAGAGTCTGCTTTAACTCATTCACCCCTGAAATCTCATAATGAACTATTCCAACCTTTGAATTGGAAGAGTTCAAATGTGTCTTCAGGGATGAATGAGTCCCCCAGTTTGGTGATTTGATTGTTAATTAAACCTTTATTAATAGAACACCTGCACGAAGCGACCACTTTTTGAATTTCCCAATGGTGGTCTATTAATACAGGTTTTGCTGTAACCTTATTTTGAAATGCTGTATCCTTTGTTAGTATAGTCTACTGCTTCGTCCTGCTAACTAAGCCATCAGCCCATACAACTATTACAGACATTTATATGTGAGCACAAAGTAACCCCACACCACATTCCAAATATACACACCGAGATGTGTGACAATGCTTGCAGGTACATTGGGAATTTTAAATTAAAAACATATTCTATATCACCTGTAATTTCTAAATTCATCAGTAAGTATACATGAGAAAAAGGAGGAAAGTTATATTTTGTGAATTTTTTTCTATACAACTGTTTTTCTTTGCTGTAAATAATATAACCCATAATATACTGGTATGAAAAAATACTATATAACTGTAAAATATTCATCAGCATATGGGTCACAATTGTTCTTATCTATTATTTATTTGATTTGCAAAATATATAAACCCACAACAATTATGACCATGTTAGGCTTTGTTTGGTAGTTTTCATAATTATCAAGGAGTAATCTCCCTTGATACTTCCCCGCTGTTAATTATATTTGCAAAATTTGATTCCTTCAGAAGCATTTTTTTAGTGGCTATAGACTTCAGTTGAAGATTAAATGTTAGCGGTTTGCTGTTTATGGACAATTTTTAAAAATCTCACAAATAAACTTTTTATTACGCTGAAATTGTGAGGTAGCTCCAAGTAACAGTTATTCCAAACCACACGTTAGGTCACAGACCAAAACTTACCAGTCACCACTCTCTCTGGCTTTCTTAGCACTGAAACAAAGGCACAACAGTAAGGCATACATACACATGCAGAGGACATGCACACAACAGTCAAGCAGGGATCAAAAGGCTTAGTACTCAATCATCAGCAATCTACCATTCCCTAGTCAAACAATCTACCATTCCCTAGTCAATTTTACTGTAACTTTCTTTCGACAAAAATTGTACAGATCACACTGCAGAAGTTATGAAATAAGCAGATTTTTTGTAGATTTTTCCATAGCTAACTTGTATATCCAGTCCACTGGTATCTGATTGAAAAGTTTTTGACCAGGAATTCAGCAGTTCCTGTCCAACTGACTAATTTAGGAGAATAATTTCAAGTGTAACTTCAAAATTGTTGCCTGTGACCAAACCATGTTTCAATAAGTACCCAAACCTGGGTTGTAAATATTTGTGTCTTTGGGGTTGAAGTCTCAGAAAATGGAAGGGAAAATATAGTGGAGCTAGACTGAATCATTCATTAGCAACTGTGAACCACTCAATCATTAGAGCATATGTCTAGAGTTTGGAGGGTCCAAGGTTCAAGTCCTGGTCCTGCCATGCATTTCTTACACAGATAATATTTGCATCGTAGATCTTAAATTTAGTAGTTTCTGTAGGTTAGGTTATATATATAGTTTTAATGAAAATATTAACATATGTACAACTAGATTCCAAATTAATCGTCATGCATGAAGCTTTGCTTTAAGACTAATGGAAAGCTGACTGCAAAACTAATATTTTTGGGGGATTCTAATTATCATACAGAATTTTGAATTCACAGACAATTTCAATACATAAATGCTTGAAAGAGTCATCATGCAACATTTGAATTCAAAACTGATTCAGAAGATCCCCACAAAATATTAAAATATTTTCTGTGCAAATTCCATAGACAGTTTAGCATGCAAGACTTGCATTACGACCATTTCTATAACATCACTTATACATAAACATTTTCCTATCCAATAAAATGGGTATTTGTTGCCCTAATAAGCATACTGGAATCAACTAATCAAAACAGCTTTTAATTCATGCAAACTTGTTAGTCAAATTCAGTTTAACAACAATTTCCTGAATAACGATTGAATATGTTTAAAGAAACTTTTATTTAAATTTAAAATATTGTGATTCAGTGAAAAAGCATGCACTGACAACTCAACATGTGTGATATTTTTCAAAATTTGTAACGTGAATATTGAGCATTTTAAATCAAGAATACATCCAATATTAAATACAAGAAAAATATTAAAGTGATTCAAATTAAGCTTGTTACCAGTGTAACCTAGTAACCTACCATGGTATGTCAGGAAGGGATGATCCGTCGCCGTGTACAAACTTAGCACCAGCTCCTAACATGTAGCGATGATGGAGGTTCAACAGCGCCTCTCTACAGGTAGTGGGTGTGTCTTTGGCTGCGGTATCTGCGTTCTTCAAGGGAGCAAAGTCGTCCTCTCGGAGAACCTCCCACACGGCAAAGCTCCTGTCACATTTACACAAAACCACGGACACAACCAAGGCCAATAAAGGAAGGATGGGTTGGCAAACAAGAGAGAAAGGGAGGAATGGAAGGTTCCAAAGGGAAAGAGTAGTACATTCCACAAATGAGTGAGATGAAAATGAAAATGATTTCATAAAAAGCAGAAAATTTTAAAATGATGAAAATTTAAAAAAAATAAATAAAAAAAATATAGCATGATTTTTAGATTTTTAGAAAAAGCATTATTTTTTTTTTAAATAAAAAAAGAAACAGAAAATGTCCAAGATTAAAAAAACAATTAGTGAACGCATCCAAGTAAATAAAAATATTAAGTCAAAGCGACAGTAGCAAAAATCCAGATTTAGAATGTTTGATGAAGTTTTCAAGATTATATAAAATAAAGTTGCACATCACACACAAACAACACACACACACAAAGCACACAAAAAAGAGGAAAAAGAAAGAAAAGCTGATGTTACTACATGATTTGATATACAAATGTAACTAAGCATAAGCAACAAAGTCATAAACTTCTATATAGCTATGGGCTAAAACATAGGGTGCTGATCTCACAGTAACAGGAACTAAACTATGTGAAGTGAACAAGTAGTAGTATACACTGTCTCAATAATGAGGTGTTTGTCTGTTTAGATTTTTGTACTGGAATACAGGTTAAGCTTTTGTTTAATGTCCTATTAACAGCTAAGGTTATTTAAGGACGTGCCTTCATGTGTGTTGTGCATGTGTGTATGTGTGCTAGAAACAGGGTTTGTTGGTGTAATTGCCTCCTTGTGATAGCGCGGATCTGATGCCTACTTTATAGTGTTATCTCACTGAAATATCATGCCGAAGGCACCCAGCACAACATTCCACCCGGTCACATTATACTGACAGGAATGAGGTCTGTAAAAGTGTTAAGTCTATGGAGTAGCATTAGAAACATCATTATTACAGCATCATAGTAAAATACAACATTTGTAGAGCCCACTATCTAATCTTCAGGATATTCCTGAAAGCTGGTTAACAATCAGGAGGGTGTTTGGCACAGCCTTATACTCAGTAGTACCTTACCACAAGATCCCCTGGAATTCCTCTGTGTGTGTGAAGGTGGACATGTGTGCATGTGTGTGCTGGAGGTTGTAGAGGTGTTCTGTTTGTTATGTATCTGTACTTCCAACGACTCATTTAGAGTCGAATACAAAAGCATGGAAACTGTAAAAGCTAATCCATACTATAGTATACTTCAATCTTAATGCTTGGTGCGTGTTACTTTCTAACTACCACATTTCCTGTCACCTTTTTTACTTGAATTTAACAAACTAGGACTTTGTATTTACATTATGATGTGTTAAAGAATTCGGCAAAAAATGAGGTACCGATACATCGTAATACCGGTACATACAATTTGGCTTAACATTAATAGTTCAATCACCAAAAACAGAAACAGAAACGATACAACACAGAATGGTGTATTCCAATAGAATTACGGGCTAGCATTAATTTCAAAAGCATTTGTAAGTAAATGGTACAGTCAATGATATAGAGAACAGAGTGAGAGAGTAACAGATGTGTACGTGTAACAGGATATCGTCAACAAAGAATCAACAGTCACGATAACAAGTTGTTGATTTCCAGGACAAGAAAGCTAAATGCAAGTCTATTGTTTGTTTTTCTAGCAGAATTTGGACAGTACAGTGCTAAACAGATGTTCGAGAAAAAGATTCAAAATAAATATTCAGCATTTAATCACTATTTTTTATAAATAAGTTAGATCTAGCACTAAAACTGATTCAATTATGTACGAGACAGTACACAATTTATTACAGATTGTCAAAAACAAGAAGACAAATAATTGAGTACCCGGCTAATTGTTGTGATTCAATATGTGATTAATTTAGTTTCTAGACAGCTTTCAAAGAGTGATGATTGCTAATGATGCCTACCCAACAGAGTGAATTTATCCTAAAGACATCCTCGATATCCAGGAGTTACGCTTGCCTTCGCTCTCTGCAGCCCTGGAATATGTCGTAGTAAATTTGAAGGCACACGGCTAGCCTCTTGATTGGTCTCAGGTAAAACAAACTGACCAATCGCTAGGCTGATTCCTGTCCTTTGAAGATTACAGAATGGTGTCACCTGACTTCAAAGTCAGTAAATTTTACGGTTATGCCACCGCAATTCTTTTGATGTACATCAAAGGATCAAACTAGTCTTCTTGTCTCATCCACAAGGTGGTGCACACCGAGCCTTCAATTTTGCTATGACATATTCTAGGGGTGCAGAGAGTTAAAGTGAGAGTAACGCCTGGATATGGAGGAGGTTCTAAAGTATAACCAATGAGTTCATGTGATTGGACAGTCATATTTAATTCTCACACAATAAATATCTTGTTTTATATCCTTTATAAAATCAGGTGGAAATCCTGAATTATAGTGCAGGTGTGATGTCAAAAACACTGCCAAATTACACTGCTTGAGTACTTTTAAATTAGCAAAAAATGATCCAGGGGCTCAAAATGAGGAGATCTTTTGAACTTATAGACCAAATCATTATTTATGTACTTACTCGGCAAAATGAAACACATCAAAGACAAATTTCTCCATTTTGATTCCATTAGGTTCAGTCGGCTTAACAATCTCCTGGTTGTCCCCAACAAATGGAATCTTTTTCTTGGCCACATGATGTTTTAGCTGGTTTTCTTGTTCAACCCTGAAATTGTAAAGAAAAATAAAAAACATTTTTAACCATACACCCTAAATTTATATAAGATACTGACCACAACATACTCTATATTATACAGTAAATTATTTCTCCATGGGCAAATGCGGTTGAGGATCTGAATTCCACTTTACTGAAAACCATATTTGACTATTTGACTGTCTTATTATAATATGGCAGATTTTAATTGTACATAGGATTACAGACGCCTTCTAGCTTCGAGCTAGAGGGAATTTCCCTTTAGTTCAGTGGTAGAGTGTCTGACTAGGAACCTAGGGATCCGAGTTTGATCCCTGGTGGAAGCACATTACTCTCTTTCCTGTTACAAAAGCAACAACTCATTTACCTAAAACCACTACAACTCTGGTTTTTGCGAGGACATTAACTCATTCAACCCTACATTTTTACTCTGAACTTGCCAAGTCTTTGATTTGGTAATTAAGGACTTAGGTTCAAATATGACTTTGGGGGTGAATGGGTAAAAACCTTTAACTTAAAACCAATACAATCCTGGCTGTAACAAGGATGTTAAACCCAAAACTTAAAAC